AACACCATGTTTCCTAAAAGAACCTAGAAACACTTAATGAAGGAAGGATTATTCAGCATTCCCCCTTTTCACAGTAAGGAAACTTTATCAATATATTTTCAGAAGTTACTATTGTACTAAATTATTCTTGTTTCATAAAATTGCAGTAGCAGCGCTAATAAGAGAATAGCTCTGCACAGTTAAATAAATCACTCAGGCAGTACTGAGATAATAATTACAATTAAGGTGGCAGGAAAATAAAGATTACCTATACATATGCACTTGAAACTGAGTAACAACATATTTTCAGTAACTAGAATTCTCATGTACTTTGAAACGGGAAATTTAGCCATAGATGCAGCATATGATGGGTTCCTACTTTATATATGCACATCTCAATGGTGATTTTTTTTTTTCTGACATAGCAGCTTTAGGAGAAGTAAGATTTATGCACTCATGCCAACGGTCTGTTCTCACAGAGTTGGGCTAAATGTTCTTGCGCTTCCTTCAAACAGATGCTAATGTTAACTTAATTTTCAATGTATTAATGTAATCTGTGTGCTTTATCTAAGGTGTTATAAGTTTGTTCTCTATACATGTTTAGTGCGGTATGAATGAGACATAGAAAGAAAAATCAATCATTGCTTCACAGAGAAATATGAACTCTGTTAGCTTCATTTTTCACACTGTGAAAATGACTTGACCTTCCTTTCCGCAGAAATCCAAATATCTCCAATCTGTATTCAACAGCATAGCTGGGCACAAATTTTCCATTAACATTTTCTGGATAGAAAACTGTGATTTCATTCTTGTTGTTTTGTGGGAAAATAGGGTTTTCTTTGGATCAAATGGAGTATTCTCAGCAGAAAAGGTTTCCATGCTGTCTCACAGGGGTTGCAGTCAGTTACCTTTTGTCTCTGCGGCTGTGGACCATTGGCCTCAGTCTCTCCTGCCTGACCCACCATGGCCACAGTCCTGCCACTTCTCCTTCAGGAATAGGCACCACGGGGCACCTCGTGGTGGCTGCAGCCCACCTGCTGAGCCCTGCCTTTGGAGCAGAGCACTGAATGGGTCCTCGTTACTCCTTCTCCATGTCTTCATTGCCTTTGTACCTCGCTTTGCAGCACGTGTGTGCAGAGCCTTTGGGGATTGAGGTTAGCATGGGATGTGTGTAGAAAGAGGAAGGATGAGGCTGGAATGTCCCTTCTCTACTTCAAACTCTTCATCCCGCTGCTTGCTGCTGCACCCGAAGGAGTAGGTGGGAAGCCCAACCATTTTGGTGCAACCTCATCCACTCCCTTGGTTGTACAGTGCTCTCAGCCTTGACCTTCCACCCATGGCTGCTCAGTCTTGACCACACCAGCAGTTGCCCAAGGGGGCCAAGCATTTGTGCCTTCATCAGAGGGGTGCTCAACAGGCCTCCTCTTCCTCTAACCCTGAACAGGGACAACCACCAAAGCCACCCACCACAAGCATCTTTCCAGAAAGCTGCCTCTGGGCTTGTAGAGTAGGATGGGCTGGGGAAGGGCTGGCTGTGGCAGGGCAGGAGTGGGTGAAATGGCAGCAGGACTCGTTGCCTGTAGCCTCGTCGGCAAAACCGGAGCCTGCCCCGTGCTGAGCCAGCATTCCCCTTTGTAGCAGACTGTGGGACTGGGCAGTGGTGAACAGGGCCAGGAGGACTTGCTGGTCTTATTATCCCTGTCCTGAGCTGTTGCAGGTGCTGGGAACCACAGTTGCATTTTCCACTGCAACTCTAAAAGAGGTCACGCTGAGGGCGGTTGAACTTTCTATTCCTGGGTAAAATGAATCCTTCTCTCCTTGAAGCCAGAGCTTGGGACAGCCTCACGCTTGCACTTGCCCCCGAGCGGGCAGTTTGCAGAGGCTGCTTGCTCCTGGCAGCCTAGCTCCACGGGGAGCAGGTATGACCCCAGCAAGCTCCCCACCACTCTTCGCTCCCCTGGTCCATGGTAGTGGTGAGCTGGCAAGGAGCTCGGGCACCTGGTGCTGCAGCTGGTGTGGGGCCAAGGGTGACTGCTGGCAGGGGGTGTGCTGTGTCCCTGGGGAGAAGGTGACCAGTTCTGGGTGCCTGCAGTGGTGACACTCGGGCATGTCTTTGGGCGTTTTGAAACCTGACTGCAAAAAGCCAGTTTCTGAACAAACTTTCTCATGCAGCTGAGGGCACATGGGGGGTTTGGGGAGCTCCAGGTGCCAAACGTGTAACTTCGGAGGGAGAGGGATTATCTCTGCTGTTCCCATGAAGGCCAATAGAAGGTTTGCTTGCTCATGCAGGGTCTCCCACCCCTTATCTTTGTTAGAATGAATCCCAAAAACCTTTTCAGGAACTACTTTGTGCAGTTTCTGAAGAATTGAAAAGGGTTTACGTTAAGAAAGTGAAGGCACTAATACCTGGGAAGAGGTTGGTTTTTCTAGCTTTTGCTGATTAAGTGCACCAGGTGCTGGCAGACCCTTTAGGTGTGGGGGGGTGGCCGGCTGGCACCCCCTGACCCTCCCTGAAAACAAGGGGAGCAGAACTGCAGCTCCCACAAGTCCCAGTGCAGAATGCTTTCAGTAAGTTGCTTAGTTGAGTTTAATGCTTCAAGCTCAAGATACCAAAAATAAGCGAGTTATTGAACATAAGTGATTTGGTGACAGACTAGCGCTTTACTTTATTAATAGTATTATAATTTTTATTTATTTATTTAAAAAAACCCAACAAACCCTCTGCACCTGTTTCTGGAGAAAAGGTCTGAAAATGTGACTCCACCTCCCACGTTAGTTCACAGTATTGGCCACAAATGATGATTTTTGAATGGGGCTTTTAAAACCAGCGGTGATGCTAAAATAAGAAACAGAAGAGAGAGGGGCCTGACTCGTGCTGTTTTAAAGCTCCAGGCCCAGAGCGGTGCTTTTGAGCCTGTTTGTGGAGAAAACAGAAATGCGAGAGAGGAAACGCCGCGTGCACCTGCCCGCCCGCAGCGGGAGAGGAGCGGAGCTTTGGGTTTTGCTGGGTGCGAGCGCAGGCTGTCAGCGGTGCAGCTCTGCCCGAGCTCCCGCCCTGTCGGGGGCCCACAAGACACACGACGCAAACACGAACCTCACAGCGAAGCCCAGGCTGAGGAGGTGAAGTCTGTCACGTTTGACTTCCACTCATAACGGTTCCACAGCTTTCCCTCAGCAGTATTTTTAACCCAAGAGCGTTTATAACACAACTGTGTACTCCTTAGGAAGGTGAAACTTACAGATTATATTAGGTGCTCTGCCACTGGGCTACTTTATCATCTTGGATTTGTCTCTTAATTCTGAGGAAGCCCATAAAGATGGGTTAGAGGGTTCAGGGGAGCCTGGGCTCTGCGGTGACAGAGCTGGCCAACGTGACCCAGCTCCAGGAGGCTCACGCAGCTGGTCATGGCCGTGGAGGTGGGACCCCAGCAAAGCAAGGGTCATGTCAAACTTTGCCCACACCAAGTTCCCGAGTCTCGTTGGCATGCAGGGAAGTTCAGAGTGCGACTGTTCCAGTGGAAAACCAGTTTTGGTTTTGTCTTTGCAATGCCAGTGTAAGTACTCATTTGGAATTTTATATTTATGAAATGGATGTGGAAAATTATAAGATATTAGTTGCTGTTCAGAAGGCAGTTGGATGTGAAAGCCTGTGGGCTGGGTGCATGAACACGGGTAGAAAATAATTTGATGGAGGGCACAATGGGCCCCCTTCCCCCCTGTCTGGGACCCTGCTCGGGCTCTCCCTGGGGTGGTCGCTGCGGGATGTCCCCGTCCTGCCCGATGCCCGCAGGTGAGACGCGCTGCTCCCGGCTCCCGCGAAGCCCCCGGGCAGGCAGCGGGCAGGGCGGGCGGGCGAGCAGAGGCCGCTCAGCGGGAGCCGACCCCCGGGAGCGCTCGGGAGGACCCGTCCAGCTCAGCCCCCCCGGCCCTTTCCCCTGCCCCTTCGCCTGCCGCCCCGCAGCTCCCGGTGGGGCTCACCCCGAGCGCTGCCCGTGCCACCCCTGGGGTCAGCGGGAGTCAGGCTTGTTCGCTCACAGGAGTTTGGCAATAAAATTATAGATGCCTATTTGTTTGTTTGATTGGTTGCTTTTAAAAAAATATATCTTTTTTTCTCTCCCCTACCCCCACTTTTTTTCTCCCCGGCTCCCAGTCCGGCCAGGACACTCTCAGATAACCCCGAGGCGCGAAGCCCCGCTGCCCCCCCC